AAAAAAAGAGAATGCCTAAGATACTAAGATACATTCACTGTGAGCTGATCTGTGAGAATCTTGGAAGGTGGAGGGCATGTGGGCTTCTACATTCTCTTATACTTTCCTTAAATATATACACTCAAATAATTGAATAGTTAGTTCATTAAAATAATGTATACAATCTTAATTCTGAAGCCACATTAGGATATCTTTCCTATAAAAGAGAAAAAACTGAATGAAACAAACCAGCTTTACAAGTCAGTAGCTTTCTTCTGGCACTCAGTTTTTGTGAGTGAAAGCCTGTGCCTCTCTTGTCACTCTACCAGCATGAGCCAGCCCTGCTGACTTAGTGGACAGGCTCTGGCCAAACACAGCATTATCTAGAGTAGTTTTCCCTTTAAGAATACTGGGATTCAGCCTCATTTACATAGTTCAGGTGATTAATTGAAGATATACTATTCTTAGAAGAACTGGTTTTAGCCAGCAAATAACACAGCTGGAGTGAGAGATTCTTAGGGAGTCAGGCAAAAAAGCCCACAACCTTTTATGTATACTGCTCATATCAATGATCTACAGCACTCAGGAGTGTAGGAAGCCAGCTAGGCACACAAGAGGGACCAAAGTCTGCCTAGTTTCTCACAGTGACTGGTTTGCAGGTTTAATCTTCTGAGACAAAGCAGGCTCTTGTCTGAGACCCTGGAAGATGAGGGTGACTACCTTAGATTCAAACAGGTTTTGTTCTGCTTTGGGGAAATAAAGAAAAGACCTCTGAGAAGAGGAACCTAGAAAATTAGACTTTGAAGAAAATTCCTTGGTAGACAAACTCAAGCATTAGAGAGCAACTCTGCATGGTTGTAAGACCAGAGTTTGCGCCTCCAACCTTCTTTTCTTTGGTTACCCATATCAAAAAGAGAAGATTAAATTTAATAGCAGATTTAAGCAGAGCAGGCAAAATATAGAGGAAAGAACCCGTAAACACAACATACAAGGCCTGGAACCTTTTCCAGCTCTCATAGGAGATTTAGCCTCTTGGGGAAAAAATATGCACATGTAGCCCAACAATTAATTTGGAAACAGGACTAAAAACTGTTTCCTTTACTCATGTTTACTTCAGACATGAGGAAACCTGATAAGATCGATCTCCAATAAATGGCCCAGGAACATTCCAGAAGCTTATGTCCCATATCACCCATAGCACCTGTAACAGAGCCCTGGCTTTCTGCAATGCAATTATTTATCAAAGCAGCACCTAACACACCTGACTGATGGTATGCAAAACACAACTGATGGTATGCAAAACAGAACTTCTTACTGCTTTTTCCAGGCAGTATCTTGCTGATGGTTACCGAGTCTTTCACTTCTTCAAGCCCAAGCTAACTATGAAATCTGGAACAATCTGCAAGAATCGCTAAAAGATTTAGCTTGCTTTGACAAAAAGGAGCAAGACTGAAGTTTGCAAACTGAACTCAGATACAAATAAGGGGTTCTCTCATGCTCCAGAGACATCTTGGGAGGGTTGAAAGGAGAAAATAGTCTCTGACACAGTACCTGGAGGCTTTACCACTTGCAGCATCCATGCTGCATCACCACGCTATGTCCTGATATCCAGGGAGGCAAACAGGGACAATTCTGACACTTCTTCTACTGATGTGACTTTTGATCTTGTCCAACACTGCTACAGGGAGCAGGAGGCAGAGAAACTCCTTGGATCCCCTTTGCAATGCCCACACCCCACTTGGAACATGAAGCTCTGGGCACTGCTGGGGATCCTGCGGACCAGTGCAATAGCTCAGGAGTCCAGGCACAGCGGGAAATTTCAGTCTGCTGCCCAGACACTCAGGGTGTTCTTTGACATTGCTGCCTGTCCACTTGCTGCTCTGTATCCCTTGCAAGGCTCACAGATAAAATAGCTATAGTTTAGCTCTTTATTTTCTGCAAAAGATGCTAGTGACTTTCCTTAGTCAAAACAAAAGAATTCAGAAGTCAATCCAATGCAAGCACAAATGAATATATTATCTCAGAAAAAGTTGATTTTTCAACAGCAAGGTTTTATCCATCAATTACCTGCTTTATGTTAAAATGTCACTTGTTTCTTATCATCCTGCCATAAGAGAAATTTTCTTTTAAACATCCTGCTTGTATGATTGTCATCATTACTAAAAGAATAACAGTTATACTATTAAATTGCCCAAGAGAATTTTTCACCACATATTAAAGGCACCTGGCATCTGATAGGCAGCAGATGGGTACACAGCTTATGGAACTGCCTAGCAGCAAGGGGAACAGCTTTCAGGGGCTGTCTTCTTCACTTGCTTCTGCTTTACTCATTTTTATATGCATGGCTGAGCCTATTGTTTGCCCTGTGGATACTGTATTTCCATAACGCATGCTGAAAAAACTTTCCTCCTTTAACTTGTTTTAACTCCTAATATATTCCACATTCTACAACCTGTTGCTTCCAGCTCTCACCATACTATCTCAATGTGCCTGTACCATGTGCTCTTTTTAAGCTTCTGGCTCCTGCAGCCGTCACATTTTATGAGAAGAACATTTTCAAGACTCAGTTGAACAAGAGGCCAAATAAAGACCACCATTATTTCTTAAGAGCATTTTAAAACAAACCTATAATTTCATGGGGCTGAGATGCATTTTTTGGCAAACTTTGATTCAGTGGGAGTTTGAAATGCAGCACACCATGCTACTAAGCAGCAGGAATTAATTATGTCTTTGGGTCTTACAAACGTGGCAGGGGTATACATCTTCCTTCCAGATTCACACCTAAGTGTTCATGACTTTAGAAGCTCACAATAGCCTCACTAAAGATGAACTTCTTGCAGCCATCACTCCTGACTGTCAGCTAGTGTTCAATCCACCTATCTCAGTTCTCATGATGGAGGGTTGTGATCTAAGCACATTTTTTGGTCTTAGAAGAAGATAGTGAGCTGAGTATTCCTGCTTCAGCTCTGATTTTGATGCTCTGCGAGCATTAGCAAACCTCCACTCTGCAGCTGTGGATTCCTTGCACCGCCAGTGGATGTGGGTGTAATGCAAACCTAGTGCATCTGCCATAAAAAAAATCACCCAGGATTAATCTGTCAGGTGAGATGCTGTGGGCCTTACTCTTCCACTGAGTTCAGCAGGCTGGCTCACCGTCTTGCTTAGTGTGTTATAAATAAAGAATAACCAAAGTGTATTCACAAGGACTGTGGTGTGACTTGTACTGGGTTTACACAGTGTGTAATGTTCTGATGTATGGAAGTGATCCTTAACACCTTTTGTGGGGAGAGTATTCTCTGCAATAAGTCTATTTCCTTTTGTTTCAGGGGACTCAAGATGTTAATTCATAGGAGAACTTCATGTTTAAGTGCAAGAGGAAAGTATACTTTAGGGGTTTGCATCTTCTGGATGCTCATATTGAGATTAAGTGAAGCCTAGAATACCAGTTTTGCTAATTTTTTCCTTTCCTTCTCCTTCCCCCATATAGTCTTAATTTTCTGAGAGGACTGGACTGATAGCTATACTTTCTGTTGTTCTGAGTCTACTCCTGTACAGCAATCATTTTTAATTTATCCCCATAAGGTCAAAACAATATATAGAGAGTGCAGAGTCTAATAAGATGTTGAAAAAGATATTGAACCTCTCCTGCCTCACTGGAGTTTTACATTCTGCAAAGTCAGCTAGAGGGGATTTCAACACAGTTAGAAATGTGTATTTCTAAAATAATAAACTGTACCTTAGGAGAACTTCCAAGTACTGACAGTTCCAAAACACTGTATTTAGTGATGCACAAAATAAAAAGTGGTCTGATCTAACCCCAAAGTTAAACTGAACCATTTTAAAGGAGTTTTCCATGGCTTTTATAACTCTTTTCCCCTGACCGAATACACATCTGGTTCTAGTTGGCACCAAAAGATAGACGTATTTAAATGTCATGACAAAGGCTAATCTTGTATTTCTGCCTTGTTGGGAGACATGGAGTACTAGAAATCTCATAAGGTTCTCCTTGGACATCTATTCACTTTTTAAATAGTCATGTGATTTACGTAGATCTGAGAAGAATTCAAATTTTTGTGTTAGCTGAACTGACCCTCTCAGCCTCCAGAGGATCATTCATCACTAAGTAGAGTTTAATAGAAGACATTGGAAATGCTGCTCCATCCTGCCTCCATGGCTTCAGCCAGCTATGAAGGTCTTGATCCTTTGTATCTTTGCTCTTTCTGCTAGGAAAATCAAATAAATTAAATACTACTTAAGAACACGTTTAGACAGGGGGAAAAATGGTGCATTATTCAAGATGGCAGAGAAAGAAAATAGAATTGGTTCAAATCCTGTGATTTCTACTAATCATATTTCCTTTACAAGTCACACTCAGGCAGATCTGAGTAAAGGTTGCAAAATTAAGATGGACACTGGGACTGCTAAATATTTACCAGTATTTACCACAGTTCATCAATAGAAAAACCTAAAAAGTGAGTTTTTACCTAGTTTCTGTTTGCAGTAGTGACACAGCCCCTTGAATCTTTGTGAAGTGCCAGACTACAAGTGTTTAAAATTCCATGAAAACCTATCGGAATGAGTTGCTGAACTTACTTTCAGAATGATAGATGGTTTTAAAGTGACTTAAACACTTTTAAACATTCAACCCAAGAGCCACTTCTACAATGATGCTGCAAGGTGATGCATATGTACTCACTGTGCTCTTTCATAAGAGGAAAACTTGACACCAAAGCTTGGCCACGGCTACCAGGCAAGGCTCACAGTGAATTTAGAAATTGAACTGCCCTGCATGCACTGTGATGTTTAGATCATGCTTCTCTTTATTACCATACCACATGCACAGGAAAAGGCATGCCTACCAGTGACGGAAAACTGATATTTCACAAGTCTTATCTTCTCACCAGGTTCTGCTGGCATCTTTGTGGCAGGACAGAACTCACAGTATGTATAGGCGCTAGTGGAAGAACATGTTAATATTTAAAATAGGCAAAAAACAATCTGTGAAGAATATGTTAATTTACCTTTCTGATCTTCCTTTTTTCCTTCTGATGCCGATGCTTTCTCTGATAAAGTGCCATTATTTCCACTGGCTTTTACCACATTTTCTTCCTGTATAGTTTCTTCACCAATGGCTACAGTGTGTCCATTTGAAGTTTCAAAATTTACTGTTACATCACCATCTGAAATAAAAATTAAAAAGTTACTGCCTAGTTTAACTACTTACTTAGCACCTGCTTACAACACACAGCACTTCTCTGCTTTCAAGCTTCTGTGGAAGAAAAGCAGAAAGACTTACTGAAATGTGAAACATCAGGCTGTAGATCTGCTCTGGAAAGTAACTCTGTAAAGAAACTCTATAGGCTTTCATCTTCTTTGAGTAGACACCTCTGCAGCAGTAAGCTCAGAAGTCCATGCTGGTTTACTTCTTCATGTCTGTTCATGAGCATCCTGCTCTCTTATCCCTGCATCTTGGTTTACAGAGCAAAGAAATGTGTGCATGGACTACAACAAAGCTGTAACATGTTCCAGCATGTTCCAAAAATGGAGAATGGGGGAGCAGAGTTGCAGACCTACTGTGGTGCACTCCCAGCATGTAAATGAGCCAGGAATTCTGACAGAAGTCCTCAGAATGTATGTGCCCATTTACTTAATAAAAATATGCAACAAAGACATCATCCAATCTTAAAAACCAAGGTGAAGTCTTCCTGTATCACATGTCATATCAGAATTAAATTCTTCAAGTCAAATTCTTTCTCAGCTCTGATGATACTTTATTCACTTACCCAGACTATCTCAGCTTCAGAGTTTTTCTGATTCTGAAAAAATCTTATGTTCCTATTTGTCTCTACATTGCTGAAAAGTGCTATTCTTGCTGGCTTACAGCTTTCTCTGTTCCATGAACTTTAAAGTTGCTACTGATTTTCTTCTCTAGTAATTTATTTCTGCAGGATTCTCTTGCTGTCAATCCAAAAAGTAAGCAAATCTACATGGCATCTCTTCTGATTTTGGCCATCTCACTAACTGTGGCAATTCCACCTCTCTTCCTTGCTGTGTGTTATCAGACCTGGATGTTTGGCACTTCCCTTGTTATAAAATTATGCAGCCTCTGTCCTACCACCTTGGGTGCTCTCACTCAGGCAATTGTTTCATTACCTTCCACACACTAACATCAACTTGATTTGTAAAAAATGAGTTCTGCCTTCCTAACTTTGTCTAAATTACTACAGCTAACACTTGCACTTACCTTAACTGCAACATTCAGTTTCTTCAGCTTCTCTCTTCCAGGGTTTCTTAAATCCACTCACTCCGCCTCCACATATGACACTGCCACCTCTTACCCACGTCTTGCTTCTGCAAACACCTCCTGCCTCCAAGTGGCACTTGCTACTTTCCACTTCATTCTTCATCACTCCATGTGAAACGCTGTCACTTCTTCACATTTCTTACGTCTCACATTTCAAGTCTCCGTGTAATTTCTTCTTTTAGCTTTCATCCCCACAGTCATTCATTCTAACTACCTTCACACACTCAGTGTCTTTCCTACCTCTCTATTTTTAGCATCTTCAAACTAACCCCATATTCTTTCAAAATGTCCTTACAATTTACAATTTTCATCAAACATGAAGCACAATGTGATGAAGATAACACAGACCAGATTGATATGAGAGGAAGAAAAGAAAACTGTTCATATTTATATCCTTTTCTCACTTTGCTCAATCCCTGTAAGGAACCCAAAGTTCAATCCCCTTTAAGAATAGAAGAGAGGGTCAAGGACACTGATAACCAAAGTATTCGTACTTTTATCACAAATGATAGTATTTATGTTCAGACTGTAGCCAACCTCAGAAGTTACCACATTTCATTAACTGTCCCAACTGTAAATAGAATTTACAACCTTCAAAGGACAAGGTCACACAGGGCCCCAGTAAAGCACACGGCAAAACCCACAACAAATCCACAGGTGGACAAGCTGAGGTATGGAGAGTTTACAAGTCTCGTTTTAAGACAATGACAGTAGCAGAGACAAGCGCAGAAGCCAGCTATGCTGAATGTCATAGTCTGATAATTAGCCAAACTCTGTACAGACAAGGGATGTCAGACATCAACAAACAGATCCTTTACTTCTAAATATCTATGGGTATGATACAACTCATACACACTTCTACTTTACTGATTCTTCAGATCACACAAAAAAAAACAATTTCTAGGAGAAAATTATTTTTTGAAAATGTGGAGTTCTTAGATTCCTTGATAAAATGACAAATAGTTTCATTTTAAGCTACAGAAAATTATTTGACTGACTTGACTTTTATTTGATCTATATTTATAGAAGAATATTAGAGAGAATACCACTAGAAACATAATTGGATGTAGGATAGAGGTATAAACCATGGCTTACTCATGCTTTTCAAAAGGTAAATTCTGGCTAATGCCAGTTACTAAACCTTAGAGCATTTTGAAACAAGTGATTTCTTGCCCACTGTTTTATGCTGGTGCCATTTGTGATTGTGGCCTGTTATACAGGTGGGATCCATAAGATCCCAGCACGGATACTTTTTGATACCTGAAATGCATTATATTGATTTTTCTGGGTTCCAAAGCCCCTAATTTTTCAGCCAAAAGCTTTCATTTTATACTCTAGTGGCTTTAGACAGCAGACCTTGACTCAAAAATAGATTTATCACTAATTATAAAAAACTCCCGCAAACAATAAGCAGTATCCACCGAAGTCACATTATTTACAGTGAGCATTAAAATACTTCAGGATATGACCAGCTGGGGCACCTATGACAGAAGCAGTTACAGAGCACAAATCCCTTAATTTCAGTTGTCAGCTGGCCCAAATTACCTCTCACACTTCTCAGTTGGTCTCCTCATACCTATTTATACTACATGGACACAATAAACAGTGGCTTTTTCATACATGTTTAGTGCTTAGTATCTAAGTTCTAGTTAATGTGTTATCACCTTGCTCAGGCATTTCCTTCAGCACTCCCCTTCTTATCAGCTCCTCTCTGCTTTGTCTTGTCGAAATCTTCCTTTCCAACACTAAAGAAAAAGCACAGTTAAGAATAGATTTATTCTCATACTGCTGATGGTTGTGAAAAAAACATAGAGAACTATTTTTATTTTATAGAAAGAGAATTCTTGTTTCCTCCAGTTCTGCAGAAGAAGTGGTCTGGGTTTTCTTGGACAGTCTCTGAAAATATTGCCCTGCAATTTCAGGCACAGAAAGTGGGGACTCATATGATCCAATATCTTCAGCTCAGCAAGTCTCCTTGAGGCTTCTTTTATGGTCAATGGAAAAAGGTACTTTCAGGGTGAAACTGAACTCATCCTAGCATAGGCATTTAACATGTAAAAAAAGTACTTTTCCCCCACTGACTAGATTGAGTAGCTCAGCTGGAGATAGCTCCATCTGCTTTGTACAGGTTTTGAGTAGCGAGATACAAATCCTGCTTGGAGAAAGCAACTCACAGAGTAGCCCTTGTGACATGCAAGCTGTTTAAAGGAGAAAAACCCAACAAAAACAACGTTTAACAGAAGCCAGAAAGTTGTGTTCTAAAAGGAAATAACATCCTCATCGATTGATGCTGGTTGACTTTCATGGAAAAAAAATACAGTATCCTGGTTTTAGGTCAAAAAAATCAAACCTCATACACAAAAACCCCATGACTGTGGAACGAAGCATTCTAATTATTATGTTTATTTCCCATGGGGAAAATCCTGAATAGTTTTATAGGGAAAAGCATTTACAGATGTTAGAATAGAACAACTCCACATTACATCCCACCCCCAAAACGATGCAGTGATCTGGGAAGATTATTGTTAATGATCCATGGGACCATGGTGTATAATGTTCACAAAATGTGAGCATCACTTGTAAAGTCCTGTCTCCCCTGTCAGGAAAAGGTAGTCTCACAGTCTCCCATTCTGATTCTGTTTGCGTACATACATCAAAATCCATGTGATGTTTGGACCTCAAGCTGAGGGCATGGGGAGAAGCTTCAGCTGTGCTGGACTTCATCCTATTACTGCTATGGGATAGGGCTATTTTTCTCACCAACCAATTCAAACACTCACTAGGGTCAGTCGAATTGCTGTATGCAGAGTGATAATACCCCATGTAGGGTTTAATCTCACTCATGCCAGCCCAGATGGAGTGACTAGCCATACAGTGAAGTGACAGGCTCCTGTGAAGGCACGGAGAAAGGCAGTTTGACTCTGGAGAAAGCTTCCCTTCATGCCTAGAAAAGCACCTTTTCCAGCAGCAGGACTCAGCTGCTGACACAACCAGACTGGCTGACCTCAGGTGCCAGAAGGCATCACTGCTTACAGCTTCTCACTCCCCTTCTCCAGCAGGGAAGGGGATGGTTGAAGAGAAGGACAGAATTTGGAAGAATTTGGAATTTCAGCTGGAAGGGAATTTAGACCATCTCATTCCAACCCCTCTGCCATGGGCAGGGACACCATCCATTAATCCAGGTTGCTTAAAGACCCATCCAACCTGGTCTTGAATGCCTACAGCAATGGGGCATCCACAACAACTCTGGGGCACTTGTTCAGTGCCTTACCATCCTCAAAGTAAAGACTTTTAAAAAAATATCGAATCTAAATGCACCCTCTTCCAGTTTAAGCCATTTCCCCTTGTTTTATCATTACATGCTCTTCTAAAAAGTCCCTCAGATCATGTGCTTCCCAAAGTTACAGTACCAGGTTTATTTCTCACACTGCAAAGTGCAGCGATGCAGCAACTCCTCTACACAGGACGCATTTCCCCATCAAAACAGCACAAACTCCTGGCAGAAGAGCTGCAGGGAGCAAACATTTTAACCAGTCCAGCTCCAGCTACTCATGCCCGTGAGATCAAGAGCTCACAAATGCAAGCATTACTGGCTCAAGAACATGTAAGCTGGCATTAAGTCTGTGTTTATATACTCAGGTACTTTGAGGGATCTGTCCATTAAAGGTCAGGCTTCTGCAGCATTCAAGTCACACTTGACAGCATGAAGGAGCTCATGAATGTGGTTGCAGACCCTCAATACCAGCCAGCCCCCTCGGGGAGAGTGTGGTAGCCTGAACAATAATCAAGTTACATTGCCTTGTGTCCCACACCTAAATTACTCACAGGCTCTTCCAGTTTCTCCCCTGTATTTTTTAAAGCTCATGCCTTCTCACATACGTTGGTACAGGAACACACCCTAGGCTTGCAAAGAGTTTTTCATGTAGGAGAGCAGTCCCACACTGTTTTTACATAGATGGGGGGTCATGAATACAGAGAACTACATGGACAGGCATGGATGGAGTGTCTTGGTTTTTCTAGAGAGCAAGTGCATTCACAAGCAGGGTGAAATCTCTTTTGACACAGCCCTGAAGGATGAGCACCTTACACATGCACTTTATACTTTATACACATGTTTTGTTGCTGGCACTCTGAATATTATTTTATTATTATTTCAGCATTACAAATATTATTTAATTCCCACTATTTTTTTCTCTCTGCTTTCTTTCTACATCTCTTTTCTTGGGGACAGTGAAATGAGATGATCTCTTACATGTCTGTGGGACAATTCAATGCCAGCTAAAAACAATAATGCCTTTTCCATCAAGTTAAAAACATTGGATCAGACCTTCACCCATCAATGTCTCTCTCTAGTTTTCAGGATGATTTTTTCTTTTTCAGTTCTACAACATTGAATTAACAACTGTATTGAATTAATTATCATGGGAAATGCCAATTGTCACTAAAAGCCATGAACCCCTTATACTCAACTAAAAAAAAACTCAAAGCATTTAATAAATTACACAGGTTTCATAACAACCCTGAGACATACCTATTTCCATTTCACATATTAGAAAAACTGTGAACAGATAAGAAGCTTAAGTTCCAGTCATCCATCTTCTAAAATGCTAGCCATGATTGGTGGTTTTATTTAAACTGATTAAGCTCAATTAATTCAGCTTGAAAAGCTAATTTATTTTAAACATTATTTGCCCCACGGAAAGAGCATAAAAAGCAAGCTAGTGTTCACTACTAGTACCATAATTTCAATTCCTACAAAGAAAAAGGCAGAATCTTAATTTGAATCAAAGTGGCAAAAATATGTCCCCTTGTATAAGAGGAATGAGTAGCCTGTCAACTTAGGAACTTATACTAGGCATTATTTAGTCAGTGTGGACTCATCATAATAATTTGTGATTTATTGCAGATTATGCAATATATTTGGTTTATTTTAGAATATACAATATATTTCACATTTACATAGTCAAGTATTTTGTACCATCCTGCCACCCAGCACCAAAGTTTAAACATTTCCTGACTTCTAAATGCTTGACTTTGTAACTCTATCATTTTAGGAGAGCTTACTGAAACAGAACAGTTGTCAGAAGTAATTAGCTGAGCAGACTGGTTGGAAACTCTTAAAACTCTGTGCAATTAAGCTGAGTGAGCAGTGGATGCTATCAGCACGAATCTTTTCTGCAATATGTGTAAATAAGAATGTATATCTCTATCTACATGAATATATATATATATATCAACATGTCTGTCATATATATGATATGTAGATATGTATGTATATATATATATAAAGGTGTCAAAAATATAAAATTTCAACATGAGCACCAACATATTGTTTCTATTTTAAGCAATAATAAAATGTAAAGAAGAATTTCTCCACCTGTGTACAAGTATCTATTGAGATTTTTTTTACAAACAGATCAGTCCTGACTGTGAGGGTAACTGGTTATGAGTCCTTGCCTACTGAAGAAGGCTGAGGTGAGGCAGGCAGGCCGTGTCCAGTCTCATGATCCAGAAGAATCAGAAAATCCCAGGTAAAAATCCTTCCCCTGCTGCATTCAGCAGCAGATCTTGCCCTGACTTCAGGTGTAACCATCAGAAAGGATGTAAATTTATTGTATTGTATGCAGCCCTCATTTACTCCAGTAAATCTTACTCCTCTTCACAAATATTTGCTATTTTGCCCAATACAAATATTAATAATATTAATAATGGGAACAGTTTACCTCAAAAAGCAGTTTCTCTCTCTCTCTCCCCCTCCCCCCTCTTCTTCATTGCCACAAAAAAGATTGCTTAGTGATGGTCAGCAGCTGCAAACCTCAGGCACTCTTAAAACCCATTCTTTGCCTCGAAGAGTGCTGTGAGATTCTGGACATTCTCCAGTACTTAGTTTTGTTCTTCTAAGAGAAGCTTGAGAGAATTCCGATTATTAATTTTTCTCTGACCTAGTAAGAACTAAAATTGCCTTCTGATCTCTCTCTGTATATACTTTCGCAGTGAAGCTTTGAAGTGGCATCTACTTTGTGCCAAGACACAAACTGCTGTCTTTTCCTTTGCAGCAAAACATTGCAGAGGAGAGAAACCCTTTAGATGATGGCATTTTATGTTTGTCTGTCCTTTATTTTGAAAGCCCTCTAGGCAAAAAGCATACAGCCAGTGCCCAAAGAACAGACTTTCTGAGACAGAGTATGGAAAACACGTTGCTAAAGTGAAAAATTCCAACCATCATTCCCACATTGGCACTGATACTAACATTTAACCATCCCTCCTTTTTTGATGCTTGTGGTATTTGCTTTTTATGAACATCTTCCAGTTGCTCCTAAGACAAAATGTGCCCCATGGTACGTGTCCTGGCAAGACTGTAGCAAGAACCTATTTCAAAAAGCCTATTGAAAACCCAGAGACTGTATTGAGAGTTCTTTCCAATAGCCCACACTCTGTCTTAGAAGAAACCCTTTCTCCATCTGCATGTGGATTTACCACGCTGAAGCCCTGTTACGAGAACTGGCAATAAATGAGGATCATCGTGCTCTCTCCCATGATCCCAGGCCAGGAAATGGGCTTCCTGCATGTAAGAGGCAGGCACACAGACAGCCCCCACTTGGTAATGAAAATACAACTCTGACTGAGTAGTGTGAGGAAGAGGATATCCTGTAGGATTTTGAAGGGACGTCTTCCCATTTCCTTCTCAAGTTAGATAAGCAAGTTTCTTCTGCCATGTCACTAAGCAAGCAACAAGGGGCAGCCTGCCACGTCAATGTGTCTTCTCAGTCATCATTAGTCCTGGGTCTATTTCCTCAAAAAATATGGGGAATACTATTTTTATTAATCTATGAAATTACCATCTAAGGCAGGATGAATGCAATTCAAACTACTTCTCAATTCAAGTTCCAGCCTCACATGAAGCACATATACAAACATAAGTGATCCCATGCACAGCTCAAAAGCAAATCAGTGTCTTGAGGGACCACAACATCATGAACAAGACGAGCAAATTAAGTAGAATGAGTATCTAAGGAGGCACTTTTGAAAATATTGACCTTAATTTCTTTGTGCTTCATTTCCTGCTTTTGTAAAAGAAATATGAACACACACTTTGTCTTGGTACTATAAGAATTGATGCATCATGCTTGCAAGACTGGATTCAGGCCCTTGGAAGAAAGACAGTACAACATAAGAAATGCTATCTTTAACATGAACTTATCAGATCTTAGTTTTTTTAAAAATAATTTTTAAATGATACATGCATTATTTTTAATGGCATAACAGTTTAACACATGCTAATAGGTTGTGAAAGTTCAGGGAATTTCTTCATACACAGCTTATGAATGGTCATTATTCTGAAGAACTCATTGCATATAAAATCACATACCTGTCCAGGAGAAGCTGCAGAACATTCAGGAGTCATTAACCAGAAATAACTTTGCTTTAGCATGATAATAAAAGTACTGGGAAAGCTGAAGGAAACGGGAAGCAATGAAGGAGATACCAGACTGAGGGGATTTTTTTTTATTGCAGTAGCAGAAGAAATTGTGGGGGGTTTGTTACAGGGTATGTGGGAAAATCTAAAAAATAGGAAAAAGGAGAGAAAGAAGGATTTGAAGAGCTCAAAAATCTGTTCAAAACTTCAGCTGGCATCTGGAGTGATGAAGACACCAGAGAAAATGGCTTCCTTTTCCTTTCTATGTAAAAAAAAGTTTTAGAAGTTTCACTGTCAAATCATAGAGCTCCTTGCTGTAACTGCCAGGGGTTGCTGTGTAAGGGTTGGGTTTAAAATGTCAAGCAGTGTACTTCTGAGAGTTATGGGGTGCCTCCTGAAAACACTGTGGGAGACTAGTGTTGGTTTTATTGCCTACAGCCTTGGAAACCAGTAGACAGGGCTTGCACTGTGGCAATGAATCTAAAGGGCTCACAGAAGCTCACTGGACTCTAATTAGACTCAAGTTTAGGAAACCACAACATCAGATGTTTGAATCCCAAACCAGAAGTTTGGGATTTTTGTAGAGAAAGTTTGGCTAGAGCAGTGACACAAAGACACACACACACACACATATATGCAGGGTGGTATTCAGTTTTCTAAACGTGGATGTCTACAGCCACCTCAGATGCCCCAGGGTTTTGGAGCTGTCTGCACAGTAATGACAAATATGATACCAAACCTTCTGTGAGACCAGTCAGAACACCCCAGAGCATCTCAGGTGGCCCCAAACAATTATGTTTGGCTAACTAAATCCCAGCCTTTAATATTCCACTTTTTCAGACAGAATATAATTCAATCACAGCATTTGATTTCAGACCATCCTCCAGCCTTGTCAGTGGGGAAGTGAAGGGGCAGAGCAGCCTCTTTGAAGGCGGGGGCTGCAGAGCTGATCCTCATTCTTCTGCTGGACATGGTGACATCTGCTTCTCCCCCAAACTCCTGTCCCCATGAAGGCAAGATTTGTTCGATAATTCAACTCACTGACTACCAGGAGGACTGAGAGATTTTCCAATATATTTAAGGATACATATAGTAAACAAATCAGCTGTGTATTTTAGGGGATAGGTTCAAAACAAAGCTGAATGAGGTTCGGTTTTTCCAAGGATCAAACTGTTTTTCTGTATGTCAAATACTGTGCCTAAATCATCCTTGACATCTAACAAGTTCAAAGAGCTTTTTAAATATTACATTGCAAAACCGTCACAGTTTTCTATTTGCCACCAAAGGACCACAGACATACCTGCTGATGTTTCTCTGAATTTGTCACTGGTCTTCTTCTTCCGCCATTTCCAAGGTTTAAAGATTTTGCCAATGTTGGAGAGTTTGCCCTTCCTCTTGAAGGGGGGAGTTTGGGATCCTGGGGCTGGTCCATCTGAGTTAGCAATTGAAGCCTTGTCCAAACCATCAACTGTATAAAGAAAAGAAATAAAAATAACTGAAGGATGGAAAACTAAATAATACCCAACAGCTAAACTCCTCCACTACCAGATTGCAACAGGCTGTGTGTGCACCAACGTGGATTTTTCCTGTTCCAGAAGGCAGCCCTGGGCTTCAGTGCTTCTCAGCACCGCAACTGCAGCTGTCCAGGACTTGCATCTCGTGATGCTCATCTGGCGTATTTGCACAGTCCGGTGGTTTTCTATCACTACAGGAGAATTTCTTCCAACATATGTTTGGGTGAGTTTTGCCCAATCTGTGGTGAAGTTGAATAACTAGCTATCACCACACAGAAAACAAAAACCTTGCAATGTGAAAACATAAACTGTTTCTTTTGCATAAAATTAATCCTTTCTTAAACAAACTCTAAAGATAATTGTTCTGGCAGTGGAATGGGAACAGGTCTGTTTGATATCCCTGGTAATCAGTCCTTCCCAGCACAGCCTGCCATGAGTCAGGGTTCTTACTAACAAAGCGTATTTAACAATAAGCTTTTGAACTGGAGCCAAAACTTAAAGAAGGATTTCTTTCTGCAAAAACATATTGAATCATATGAAAGCCAATATTTAGCAAACTCTGAGTTTTGTGAACAAATTAAAACTCATCCCACAACATGCTGCAGCATCCAGTTAAAATAAACTACCCTGAGAAATCTACAATTATTATTTCTATTTAAGAATTAAGGTTTCTTAAAGCTTTCCATTTGTAGTCCTGCAAACACTTCCAATGTGCAGAATTTTACTCCTACGAGCAATGAAGTTACTGCCATTACTTAGAGACACAAAATTAATCATGGGCTGTTTGTGGCCTATAGGCTCTGTAATTGCTTTCATTCATCTAAACATTCTAATTATAACCAGTTTGGAATAGAGTTGATGCCACTCTGAACAGTAGTAATGATAATCATAGATCATTAAATCAGAAATGCTATTCAAAGAAAGAAATATCAATGTCCCCATTTTACAAACGGAAAAATATGAGGCATATAATTGTTAAGTGCTTAATTTTATGTTTGCCAAATAGCTTCCTGAATCCTGGTTCTGTGACCTAGCTGCTAAAAAGATACATATTCAGCCACATATCATGGTGCAATCTTATTATTCTGTTTCTTAGACAAATTACATGTAATGAGTCCTATATTTATCCTAGGCTTTAGATTGATCCTGGATGCTAAAAATAATCTTTTCTGTGAGAAAACTGATGTAATGCAAACAGAGTCCAAGAAACTTTATTTCCAATGTTTTTAAATAAAGTACTGACAGGAAAGATTCATTGTATAACTTAATTGAAGTCTACGAAGTTAAAACTAGTGATAAACATTCTCACCTGTGTGCCCTGGAGAACAAGGTGAACCTTAGAGAGATTTAAAATGAGACTGCCTCAAAATGAAACAGCTATCCCTGAGAAGCCAGGTGAGAGGTGGGGGATGAGATGATCACCAAAGGTAGTGAGCAACACTGCAGAGAGGTGCAGGGCAGCACAAGGAGCCCTGCAGGGGTGCTTTGCCTGAAATTAGGGACAGCACTTTTGTCCGGGCCTACAGGCACTGCCTATGGAGCGCAGTCCCCTATGGAATGCAGAAGCCTCTGCCTGAAACTGTGGATCTAAGGGAGAGTCACAGTTATTTGGAGTGTATGTACAAAGACAACAGAGCAAATTTATCTTTGCAATTCCAGATGACCTAAGAATGGATGAGGGCCACAGTTTGCAGCCAGGAAAAGCCAGGTTAGAGGTAAGGAAAACACAGCCAGGAGTTGGGTAGTGCAGCACTGGAACAGGTCCTGGCAGGATTAAAAGGCTCTGCCAGGCAAACCTACAAAGCTCCTTGTGGGCTGACCTCACCTATTGTCAGGAACAGTCCTGCTCCAAGTAACCCCCCGAGTCCCTCCCTCAAGATTCCCATGGTGCTACAGGATGCAGAAACACATAGTTTCTCTGTTAAATCAGCACTAGTAAATCCAAATACCCAGAAGTGAAGTCATTAAGAAAAGAGACCAGGATCTGTTGGCTGTAGAGTTCTGTCCTGGGACAGGACAGGAGCCAGGCAATATCTCACTGGCAGAAGCAGTGAGATACCAGTGAGATACCAGGAGTGAGAGGCTACCCACCCTTGAGGCAGCAGGACAAAACCCATGCTGTTTTCTCCGGTGGCTCAGAAAGGCTGTGCTACTGGTGTGAAGAGCTTGCATCCTGCTGACAGACAGCGTGGTCTTAGAAGTACTAGAACACTGATCTTTTCAAATGCTCCTGAGTCATGGAATACAGTCTATTGCAGGAGACCACTTTCCAGAAACCTCATCTAGATTTTTTTTTCCCTGTGCCTAGCAGCAGAAATGGAGGAGAATTAGAGCTCCAATAGCTCCCTACAGAGAAATACAGATTTGCATTGGTCCCTGTTCTGCCCTCTGCTGAAAACTGGTAACTCCAAAATAATCATGTTCATCCTAGCCACAGACATCTGTCTGCTTCAAACTGAGCAAATATATGAAATTCATGAAAAATAATTCTATTCAGGAAGACTGAAACTTTTGAAAACAAATGTCAACATTAATTCCTTTTGACAATAAAAGGCAAGGAGTTGATTTATCTAGTGAGTTCAAAAAGTGTTCAAAATTGGGAATTTACTAATCCATGGACCTTGTACCAACTCCCTCATTTGAAATATGTATTTGAAAAGAAGGAATAAGCATAGCCAGATATCACAGACTAACTTCAGAAATAATCTAAGATAAATTAATATGTCTAGAAAAAGGAATTTGTTTATATTCCAAAGCACATATATGTATACATATATATTCACAAGCTAGCACATTTTATCAATTAATAAACTATTTAGAAAAAACAATTTCAGCAATGACATTTCAGAGCATTTATGGAAAGAGCCTTACAAAAGTTATTACTCCTCTTGTTTGAAACACTCCACAGGAAACTGATGCTTCCGATGCACACTATTTGTTTTATAGGTCATGTACTACTTAAGAATAAAGCAGTGTGTTTTTCACCTCAGAGAACTTATCTACCTTCTATTAATCATTGTTAACATTACACATATTCACTGAGGGGAAAAGAAACATCTTAGCTTTCTGAGGTTTAGAGGAGCTTGCTGACTTGTGTTATTCTTTTATCTGTATACGTAGCGTCTTGAAGTCCTGCCTTCTTCAAAAAGCCAGTGAGTCACTTCATTGCCTCCAAATAAACATTATTAGTAAGTCTGACACTGGGACATCCAGCTATAGTACCTGCATAGTTTACGTGACCATATTCCAGTCCTTGGCCCTAGGGGAAGATTTTCCAGCTGCAGGATCAGCTGCGTGCACAAGAAGGACAAGAAGTGAGGATATGAATCCTGCACGTCAATGTCACACGATGAGGAGATCTTGCTGCAGAAGGCCAACAACAAGGCTAGCGGAGACACCTCAAAGCAAAATTGTGCCGCATGGGCCGTCAATCAGATGAAATGTACAAAAAGGACAGCCTCTCCTCAAGCTTGTGGGCAGCCAGAGAAAATTAGATCAGTCTGGGGATGACCCTGACTTTCCTACAAATGCTTAGAGATGACTGAACATGTCTTATCCCAGGAAGGCTATTTGCAATAAGCAGTGCTGATCTCTGCAGCTGCTGAAGGAAAAATTTTACTGCTGTGAATGATCTCCAGAGATGCTGTGTGGCTCAGGCGGGTGTGTGAAATCATCACAGTTTTCCCAGGGCATGGTACACTTCAACACTAAGACGTCAGCACTGGCACACGCTAATGCTTTCTTCAGATAAGAGCTTACAACTAACTTTATAAGAGCAAAATGCAACAGAAGAGCAACCCACGAGATCATTTCAAGCAAGTCTAATATCAATTATTGTGAACTAAACACTGTGTTGCTCCTGGTTGCAGGCCTTGTGATTGGAATGCAGCAAGACCATTTTTAAAAAACTTTGACTTAATGAAATTCATGATCAAAAGAAAAGAGGACTATACTTCTAGCATTAGATGTTCTGTATTTTTTACTTCTGGATATTTTTTCTCTTGGCAGTGAAAATGAAAACCCAGCAGAAGAACCTAACCTGCATTCCCCTCACCAGCACCTTTCTACACAACAGATCTGTTCCAATCCTGCTGGAGTACTGGTAGATATTTCAGGGATTCTTTCCTCACATTAGGGCTGTTAAGTATAAAATGGTGTCAGCAGAATGTCAAGTTCTCTTCTTTCCCTACCATGCTGCACCTTTCATGTCACAATCCTCTCTCTCTCACCCACATCAACGAAGGCTTACCCACCTGTACTGCAACTCTGGATCCTTGTCATACAGCAAGGTTAACAGTGGCAAGGTGAAGGAAAAGTCCTCCTCCTATAGCTGCAACATAACCAAGAGGGGAAAAGGCACAGAATCAAGTGCCCCACTGATATCAAGGCACTGAGGTAGCAGTGGTGCCTAATATTTCACTAGCAATAATTCTCTTGCAGTATTGCCGTGGCATCATCACATCACTCTTAAAGCATGTGAGAAAAACCTTTTCATCCTGTCGGAATACAGGTAACTCAGGGTATTGCCACAGCTAATCATGAATGAATCAAGAAATGCAGCAGAAGATGCCTTGGCCCCCATTCAGAGTTACCTTACATGTGGATTTGGATACAATTTCTGTGCTTATTAACCACCAGTTAGCTAGTACAGTTATTTTTTTCTCTTCCTCCCACTGCAGCCTGCTGCCTTGCAGGGATGTGTTACAAAAGTCATCTTGGTTTATTGAGACCTCAAAACCTCTTCTGACAACAATATGATTTTCTATACTGCCTTGCCAGAGGGCACAGAGTTGGAAATCATGGTTTTTATGCCAGCAAAATGAACATGTTTTTGCAGCTGCCTATTATCCCCAATTAGCAGTAAGTCATCAACTTACTATAGAATATAAGCTGCTTATTCCTCGAGCTTACTGGCAAACTTCAACACGCTGCATGATAAAAGGTTTGACGTAGT